CTGGTAAATGCTAGAAATGGCTGCTGTCGTGTAAGTTTTTTTTCTTTAGATTTTCTTTGCTAACATCAGTAATGTCTGTTGGGTTTATCTGGTAAACGCTAGTAATGTCTGCTATATATGTCTGGTAAATGCTAGAAATGGCTGCTGTCGTGTAAGTTTTTTTTCTTTAGATTTTCTTTGCTAACTTCCCTCTTCTCAACTCCTCCTCTCGTCTGTTATTTTGAACTGGTTATAAGACAAGGAAGCCTCTATCCTGATAATTGACATTTCAAAACAAACAGGGATTTTATAAGCTTTAGCTTCGTGTGTTTGTTAAAAGTGTCAAACCGATAATGAATGTTTATTTGTGTCTGACGAACTGAACACCAGTATTGACAACAGTAGGTTTGGACATTTACACGTTCTCATTATCATCTGACGTAAATGTATGATAGGAAGAACTTAGTGCATGTTTTCTAGTTTGTATGACAACAGAAATATCTGCTGGTTATGTCTGCTGTAAACTGTAACTCTAGTAATGTCTGTTATAACCTGTAATTCTAGTAATGACTGCTTCTTATGTCTGCTGTAACGCAAGTTACATGTATGTACGCTGTTTACTTCTGGTGTAAGGCTGGTAATGACTGCTCGGTATGTACTGCTGTAACGCTATTTATGTATACTGTAACCTGTTACTCTAGTATTGGCTGATAGTTATGCCTGCTGTAACGCTATTTATGTACACTGTAACTCTAGTAATGACTGTTGGTTATACCTGCTGTAACGCTATTTATGTATACTGTAACCTGTAACGCTAGTATTGACTGCTTGGTTCGTCTGCTGTAACGCAGATTAATTAGTAATATCTGCTGTGTATATCTGGTAAACGCTATTAATATCTGCTGTGTATGTCTGGTAAACGCTAGTAATGTCTGTTGTGTATATCTGGTAAACGCTAGTAATATCTGCTGGGTATGTCTGGTAAACGCTATTAATGTCTGCTGTGTATATCTGGTAAACGCTAGTAATGTCTGCTGGTTATGTATGGGAAACGCTAGTTATGTCTGTTGTGTGTGTCTGGTAAACGCTAGTAATATCTGCTGTGTATGTCTGGTAAACGCTAGTAATATCTGCTGTGTATGTCTGGTAAACGCTAGTAACGTCTGCTGTGTATGTCTGGTAAACGCTAGTAATGTCTGCTGGTTATATCTGGTAAACGCTAGTAATGTCTGCTGGTTATGTATGGTAAACGCTAGTTATGTCTGTTGTGTGTGTCTGGTAAACGCTAGTAATATCTGCTGGGTATATCTGGTAGACGCTAGTAATGTCTGTTGGGTATATCTGGTAAACGCTAGTAATGTCTGCTGGTTATATCTGGTAAACGCTAGTAATGTCTGCTGGTTATATATGGTAAACGCTAGTTATGTCTGTTGTGTGTGTCTGGTAAACGCTAGTAATATCTGTTGTGTATGTCTGGTAAACGCTAGTAATGTCTGCTGTGACTGTTTGGTAAACGCTAGTAATGTCTGTTGGGTTTATCTGGTAAACGCTAGTAATGTCTGCTGTATATGTCTGGTAAATGCTAGAAATGGCTGCTGTCGTGTAAGTGATTTTCTTTAGATTTTCTTTGCTAACATCCTCTTTTCTCAACTCCTCCTCTCGTCTGTTATTTTGAACTGGTTATAAGACAAGGAAGCCTCTATCCTGATAATTCACATCTCAAAACAAACAGGGAATTTATAAGCTTTTGCTTCGTGTGTTTGTTAAAAGTGCCAAACCGATAATGAACGTTTATTTGTATCTGACGAACTGAACACCAGTATTGACAACAGTAGGTTTGGACATTTATACGTTCTCATTATCATCTGACGTAAATGTATGATAGGAAGAACTCAGTGCATGTTTTCTAGTTTGTGTGACAACAGGAATGTCTGCTGGTTATGTCTGCTGTAACCTGTAACTCTAGTAATGTCTGCTGTAACATGTAATTCTAGTAATGACTGCTTCTTATGTCTGCTGTAACGCAAGTTACATGTATGTACGCTGTTTATTTCTGGTGTAAGGCTAGTAATGACTGCTCGGTATGAACTGCTGTAACGCTATTTATGTATACTGTAACCTGTAACTCTAGTAATGACTGCTGATTTGTCTACTGTAACGCAAGTTACATGTATGTACGCTGTTTATTTCTGGTGTAAGGCTAGTAATGACTGCTCGGTATACCTGTTACTCTATAATTGATTGCATGGTATGTCTGCTGTAACGCTAGTTATGTACACTGTAACCTGTAACTCTAGTAATTACTGCTGATTATGCTTGCTGTAACGCTATTTATGTACACTGTAACTCTAGTAATGAATGTTGATTATACCTGCTGTAACGCTAATTATGTATACTGTAACCTGTAACTCTAGTAATGACTGCTGATTTGTCTGCTGTAACGCTAGTTATGTATACTGTAACCTGTTACTCTAGTAATGACTGCTGGTTTGTCTGCTGTAACGCTAGTAACGTATACTGTAACCTGTAACGCTAGTATTGACTGCTTGGTTTGTCTGCTGTAACGCTAGTTTTGTATACTGTAACCTGTAACGCTAGTATTGACTGCTTGGTTCGTCTGCTGTAACGCTAGTTATGTATACCGTAACCTGTAATGCTAGTATTGACTGCTCGGTATGTCTGCTGTAATGCTAGATATGTATTCTGTAACCTGTAACTCTAGTAATAACTGTTGGTTATACCTGCTGTAACGCTAGTTACGTATACTGTAACCTGTAACGCTAGTATTGACTGCTTGGTTTGTCTGCTGTAACGCTAGTTACGTATACTTTATAAAGAGGTATGGCGGAAAACTGCCCGTATTTCCCTAAGTCGGCATTTATGAAAACGGGGAACAAAATTAAGGAGTAAAACATTTCGTGTAGCAAAAATGCATACAAAAGATACCAAACCAATTGAATATGAATTTTTAAACTACTGAGAAATAAGGTATTGCTAATATGATACTGCAAATATACCCATATACACTATATCTATGAAAATGATGAGGTTTCCCGGAGTTAAAAAAAATACTTTCAACACTTTCCTATCCGAGGACCAACTTTTGAATATGCAAAAACAAAGCGTATTACGGAAAAGTGGTCCTCCTTTGGGAAAGTGCTCAATATAATGAAAAACAGGGGTGATCAAGTTTCTCTAAACTGCGACCGGTGTTTCTCGGGTCAAATAAGTTCGTAATTGCCAATGTGTAACGCAGTTTACTTGCGACTAGAAAGTAAACGGTGCAGGTTCGAATCCTCCTGAAAGTTTTTTTTTTTTTTTTTTTTTTTTAAATATTTAGGCATTTGATCATTTTCCTTAAAAAGGCAATGTTTTTTGGTTTTTTTAAATCGATGGAAGATTTTGTTTACATTTTAATAACATACCTAATGATTTATCAGTTTTGTTTGTAATAATTTCTTAACTATTTAGTGCGACATACTTCTATCGAAGCATGTCAACAAATCCCTGTACACGTGTACAGTACATGCAGCTACGCTTTGTAGGTAAGACACTATTTTTGATGAAATTTATGAATTGTTTTACCCTCCAACTGGCAATAGTAATTATATCAAGTGCTTAAAAACCAACAAATAATGCCGAAATACCAAATATGTGGTCTGTTTACAATAATCTATTCTTAGACACGGGCTTCCGATATTGCTACCTGTATAAAAATACCCGAGGACGCGTCATAACAGTGCACGGTTGGATGCGCGCACTGGCATAGCAACCCGCCATAATCTCTTTCTTTACTAATTCCCTCTTTTTCTGAACTCCCCTCTCTTCTGTTTATTTGTAATGGTTATATGACAATGACGTATCTTACCTGATGTAGACTTGCTTCGTGTGTTTCGTCAATAGTGCCAAACCGATAATGAATTTTTAATTGTATCGGACGAAATTAACACATGTATGTAGTGACAACAGGATAATTTGACAGTAACTTTCTCATTATCATCTGACGTAAATATGTGATTGGCAAAACTAGGCGCATGTTTATTCGTTTAGCCACTTATTTGTATTAAATGGTGTATAAAGAATGTACCAGTATTGTAATGACGTAAAATGTTATGGTGTCGTAGCGATATTGATTCTGATTTTTAATTATCCCCACAAGACAGGCCATACAAACACACCTGTAACAAACGGGCAAGAGACTGAGATGTTAGCGGTCTTTATTCTAACATTGACGCCCGCTAAATCTCTAATCTAACACCTCGCCCCTGGCATTGTTCGCGTCCGTGGAGTCATAAAATCGTAGATCTCGACATTCAAATGCCTTTCAAAGGCCCGTAAACAGCCATTTGTGTTAAAAGCTTTACAAATGTATCTATCTTACTAAATGAAACGGGTGGGATTCTACCCCGCTTTGTCGTCATTGAATGTGCGGTATCGGTGTGTATCTTGTGTTTATCCCCGTCTACGTATACGGTTCCCCTTAGATACAGTTCGATCTGATCGACTGTAACGATACACACTCGTAAATAGGCACTATTTGTGTCTGGGTCCATTTTTTTTGTTCTGTACCAAATTCATTTGTATGGTAAATCTGTTAAATATATGCTAGACACGTGTGACTCTAAGTCACAAATCATCGAGGCAATATAAAGCTAGTACTTCGACGTCGTTGGTAAGTTAAACATGTTGAAACAGTCATGGTGCCGCAATCATAATTAACTAAACGGCATATCCAACTATATTAACTTTTTCAGCAGACTTTTAACATACAAACTATTCCTTTTGAGTGTCAGTGTAAACAATCGGCGAGACAAATCAACAGTACTGCTTTGCTTAATTGGAATTATGTCCAGTGTGTTTTTGTTCTTGGGATGATTTACAGGAGAAATTCAATTTGTTTTAAAAGGAAATCTTTCCAAAGCGAATTGTGACCTGTGCTCCTAGTTGGATGCTAATCGTCGTATTGTGTTCACAGTGAGGTTATCACATTATTCTTGTGGAAATAACAGTGAATATCGAAAATGAGTAAAGTTGTCAAGAAGACAGACCGTAAGAAGTCGATGACGCGTGGTGATGGTGCCAAATCAGCCCGAAAACCAAGTCTGAACGTGGACAGAAAACAAAGCATAAAAACAGAAAGAAAATCCAGTGTTGATCCTGAAAGAAAACAAAGTTTGATGGTGGCAGATAGAAAATTAAGCATCAACTCTGAAGAGAGAAATATGTCGATGGAAACTGCAGGAACACAACGAAAAGCGTCGACGTTTGCCGAAAGACGATCGTCAATTATCGGCGATACTCGGAGAGGGTCGATCTTAGAACCAATGATTGGGCGTTCGGCGCTTATAACGACGTCGGCACAAGGACAACGCCCCGTCAATATAATATTAGAAAACACATACAAAAATTGTCCTGACAAAGTAGTCCGGAATGACGATATCAGAAGATGTATACAGGAAGTGTTCGAACAGGAGCTACCCGAAACAACTTACAGCGAGGAAGAGTGCTGCATTTTGTCCAAAAGATTGGCCGAAATGATCAAACAAAGCGTGAAATCGTTGGTACAGCGGCACAAAATCATTACTGTAGTGGCCCTTGGTCAGCGCCAGGACTACTCGCCATCGGTCGCCTTCACCAGTCGCTGCGTGTGGAACGCTAACTTCGACACGTTCTCAGAATATACGTACAAGAACACGTCGTTATACGCTGTAGGGCTGGTATATGTGTTGTACGCTGAGTGACAATGGCGGTAATTATAACATCAGGGTATTGGCAAGTCGAGCAAAATCACGGATATGTCTTCTGAATCTGACGAGATGTTTTGTGAAAAATAGGTAAAAATGGCTGAACGTGTAAAAAACAGTATTGTGATACATTTGGTGTTATATGTATGTTTAAAATGTGAATTTTCACCGTTAACAAAGCATGTGGAACAGCGATTACCTATCTACACGTTACATTTGCCAGGAATCTTCAAGGTAATATCGGAAGATGGCGATATTCGGACTTCTTGCTCTCTTTCACACAAAAATGGAAGTATGTGTTTTAATAATATTTAAACAAAAACATCTGAACCAATGTATAATATCAATACTAATCGCTACTCACGAGTGAATAAAAACTATCCCTTACAAATAAATGCAAACTTAACCCAATATCATTTGTTAAGCAACTTATTTGTGTATAATTTAAAATTGTTAATATTTACTCTTTCGTTTCGAGAAAACAGTCGGATTAGGGAATCATCTGGATAACCGGCACAGGAATTATAACCCATGTATTTCAGCTGTATATTCGGTTTAAACCAGCTTTACGGATTAGCGAGGTTCCGCTGTAACTACATATAGGGCACTGGGTGTATGATAACGGAGGTAAGGAACCCAGTATAAAACACTACCTGTTATGGTTTAACTTGTGTCGAAACAGCATAAAATATAGTAGCTGTACGTACATGTAATGTTGCCCTAGCAGCTATTGGTCACAGGGACCTGAGAATTTGTCGACCAAAACTAAGGTGTGCAGAGTATTTTTACAAGTTTTAGGGGTTTAAAACAACTTTCGGTAAAAAAAAAAAACACAACCTCATTGAGAGTGGCATTTTTACCGAATATTTACCTAAACCCTTTAAACGTGTAAAACTATGATAACTCTGAACACCTTAAAATAGTTTAGGTCCAAATATAGCTGTAACAAATTCTCAAGTGCCTGTGCTATTGTCGATTCCTGGTATACTATTCGTACTACTAAAAACTTCGCCCTATGTGAGCTCGTGTGTAGAGTAGATCGTAGATAGTTGAGTTACGTAAAGATGGTACCCGGCACCTACTATACAGATAGGACTTTGATTTGATCAAAACGTTGACGAAAACTTCCCGACGGCTAATCGGTATACCACCGAAAACAAGATATAACAAAAATATTAGAGGTCCTAATTTAAGTGTTGAAGTTTGCAGTGGGATCAAGTTTTTCCCTTTCTGTGTCCCCAGCTATAGCTAAAAGGGGCCCACTATGACATCTCCAATCACCGAACCCGCGATCGAGGATTTTCAACGTCAGATTATGATGCTATGACGTCACTGGCCCACACTGTGACAGCTTGAAGGTGGGTTAGCGCTACAATCAGTGGACCTATCAACATCCGTAACAGTCAAACAGGTTTCGGACTAGACAGTTACTTCAATTTCATTCTGTGTTTACAAACTGCTGTTTTGGTTCTAAGCACTAAAATCATCGTTTTTCATCGATAATTCTTTTGAAATGAAAATAAGAGAAAACGTCTAAGTCTTTGTTAATGACGATTTTTTAGCACCTAACCAAGATAATTAGGTTCCTTGATGTTAAACAGTGAGAAATAATTTCATAATTATACACAGTCCCAACCCATGTACATCTGTGTTTATTTTCCTATAATTTGACTTAGGTTTGTGTTGTTCCCCACCCTGACTACCTGTGTGCTTAAAGACTGAAAACAAAGTTTTGAATTCAATTTCCGAAATCGTGATAACATATGAATAGACTAAATGTACTAATTATGATTAAGAGTATCATAAATCAAAGTCTTCACATTTCACTTTATTTTAAGAGCACATTTGTGTTAACCCTTGCAAGCGAAATCTCATGGACTTTGGTCCCATTACGTATAATTACGTAACTCTGCCACCAGTTTCCAATGGAAACCTGATCTAAAGATATAGAGACAATGGTCCCTGTCACATTGAACAAGTTTTAAAGGAATAACGACGTCTCTGTTGGGGGTCTATCTGGTTTTCATTCGGGTCACATGATATATTGGGGAAAAAATATAATATTTTAATTACATATAATGTTACAATTTATAACGCCATCAATCATAATTAGGTAAGTAGTATGTTGTAACCCCGGTGACATGTTAACCATTAGGAATGTATTGGGAGGGTACACAGGCCGTACCATAGATCTCATCTGATCATTATACATAGGTAAAAGTAGCGTACCAATTATCAGGCACGTACCCAGTACAACTTATCGGTCACGCCTACTCGTATCAATTACATACATGAATGACATATGACAAGGTCGTCATCAACTGCATCGCAAAGGCTTAACAAACATACCAGTCTGAAATATATCATTATGCGTCGTCGTCGTCTTCGTCATCATCATCATCATCATCATCATCATCATCAGCAGCAGCAGCAGCAGCCTCTGTGTCATTGTCGTCGTCGTCGCATACTCATTCCTCGTTTTCGTCGGCGTCGCCGTATAAATTGACGACTCTAACATCCCTTGTTGTCGTCGTCGGCGTCGTCTGATAAATTAGCGAATCCCAATTTGCCACATCTATTGTCGTTGTCGGCGTTGTCATTCCAATACCGCTCTTTATCCAATATTCTGTTCAGTAATATGCAGCCTGTATAATCTAGTGTGTGAGCAGTACATTACGTTATCATTAACCAGATGAATACCATTTCATTCCAATTGACAAAACATGAATGGCGATACCACCCTATGAAAAGTAAGCATACACACAGCCGATATTTAAGTATTTACATAGATTTCATATGCAGCCATTGTACTTTTCTGTGTTAGGTACCGTATATCACGATGTTCGGATCCATATATACCTAATTTACACATTTACAACATAGCGAATGCTTGCCTTCGCAGGGGCTTGATAGAAAATCTCAAACTGTAAACTCATATTTCTAGATAAACTATAAAATACCTTCATTCTAATCTATTTTGAATTTGGAGCGATTTTTTTTTATCATAAAATGGTGTAAAAAGGCTTAATGTAGGCGTTTGGCCGTATTTAATAGGATTTTAAAGCAAAGATGGATGGGCTAGTAAAGTCCTGTCAATTATATATATATATATATATCATGTATCGGCAAAGAAGTAAAAACGACAGTGCAGATAAAACATGTATTAATCCTTATCAGTGCAGCTTTTGCTTTTTATATGAACGAAAGTGCGTCCCTAGGTTTTATTTATTGATTTCTGAAATAAATATAATTTATGATGTGCGATTTTAATAAGCATTCACGCAGTTATTATAGATAACTCAATACGTAGTTCAATAGATAAATAACATGCAATAATTCTACTGTGTGATTTGATATACAATACATGTCACAACACACTGACCTGAAAGATATGCCATTACACGCAATACACATTACTTCGTATATAAGAGGGATATACTTTTTATATCCGAGCCCCTGTGATAACTAGCAGGGATTTAACTGGCATTAAGTGGCTGGTGCTATCTGCGTCGAGTGTCGTCAATATTCTCTGCTGTGGGTATTTACGTATATATTAGGATAACTCAGCCAGATTTTTATACCGGATTGTTGATCGGCGGCTTTGTGATCTAATGCACAACAGATCAGTATATAGGTGACTGCGTGTATCGTAACTCGGGGATACCCGGGGTACCGAGTCAGTCGAGTCCAACGAATCACAATAGGAATCACAATCGTGAGATCTTATTTAAATTATATAGCTACATATACAGACCCATCTAAGGGCTAGGTCGGAATGTTTAAACACAGAGAAACAAAGGTCGTCACTAAGTGGCTTTGTATGGAAGGCGAGGGAAATACGTTAAAATTGTTTCAGTTTTAATTTCATTGCCCGGACTACATTTAGACAAGAGACAGTGATTAGTGACATACCAGCTGATTGGCGAGTTCACATGTGAAAGGATCAAACCAGGGACGACGTTCTTATAAGTGGTAATATTAACATAAACGAACCGTATTAATTTTCAATCGTGTACCGGTGAAAATTGGATTTTAATTGCGAGTGCCAGGTATAAGTATTACACTAATCTTACCGGGACAAAGGGACTTAATTTGATCTTTAGAAAGTAAGTCCCTATATAGCAAACATGAGTACGAGCACTAGTAGTAAGAAACAGGACAGGAAAGCGGACGGAGCAGGACGGAAGCTGAGCACACTTCCTCCATCAGATGCTGCCACCCGGAAGTCCTCTTTAGAACTCACAGCACCGGAAAGTTTGGCTGTTCGGAGACCTTCTATTGACAATAGAAAAATGTCTATTGTAGATTCCATCCCAGGTCGTTCAACGTTAATTATAACGTCAGCACACACGCAGCGTCCGAACGTCAAGTATGAAAACACTTTTAAAACAGAGCCGGACAAAAAAGCCCGGAGTGACCACTTACGTGACTGTATCAAGGAACTGTTCGAAAAGGAACTGGACGAAAAGACATATAACAAAGAGGAATGCAGCAGCATGTCAAAGAGTTTGGCGGACAGATTAAAACAGCGCGTGAAAATGTTAGGTTTTTCTCGTTATAAAATCATCACAGTCGTATGTATCGGCCAGCGCGAGGAATTCAACCCTTCCGTAGCTTTCACGAGCAGGTGCATGTGGAGCGCGCAGTTTGACACTTTCTCACAGCACGTTTATAAGAACACGTCGTTGTACGCACTCGGCTTGGTGTATGCCATGTACGCCGAATGATGGAGACTCCATGTTTAATTTTAATGTGTGTTAAAATAAATTGTTGTGAAAAATGCAAGTGCCAATGTCGATGTCATTGCCTATTTATATTTTTTCGAAGAGACTTCCGTTTCCGTAAAGACTTGGCCGGAAGTCCACGACACCGGAGTACGCAGTCGTGTCTTGTGGCGCCTTTTTACTGTTACTGGAAGAGCTAACTTGTCTTCTTGTTTTCTCACTGATTCTCTCAATGGATGGTTTACCATGTTCTTGATTCGTAATTACTTGAAATGGGATCTTGTCCTTCATATAATCTGTATACAAAGGACATGACAGTGCGATATCAAGATTTACTGTCTGGGAAACGCAGCTTTTTATTTCAAAATCGGAAATTTGTAAGTGTTAATTTGACATTATGAGAAGGCGCCTTGCCCTGCTTAGACTGTACTTATATAATAATGAGTGGAATCAACAGTAATCATGTCATTTAATTTCTTACTTATTCTTACTATAAAAGCCATAAAACACTTATAATTGATGTAACAAGTATTGGTGTGTTTTTTTGTCAAGAGAAGGGATGCACTACAGTGTATATGATTGATCTTCGAACTCTCATGCAGGTCTCATTTCTAGTCTTATCTACCCCCTCCACGCACATTTAACGATTTTTATTACGACATATATTGAGATATGAATCGTCTATGTAATCCCTTGGTGTCTCTCATATCGGGGTCCAGTCTGTCATAAATCAACTTTGTACAACCTACATACCGAAATGATAAGCACACGGGTCATGACATCTGTTGAATAATATGCTTAAATTTATTATAACACTGTTCAGGGCCCGTATTCATGAAACCATTATCATGTTCAAGCATTGATTTTGTGCTCAAGCCTAATTTCTTGTTCCGGTTATAAATTGATAAAAAAAAGTTACAAGAAAGTTGGTTTGAGCACAGAATCCGTGCTTGATTATGAGAATGAGAACGGTTTCGTGAATATGGACACAGGTCACAGGCCTCGACAGAAATAAGATTTAACATATTTTAACTGATCGAAATAGCTATCCCGTGTAAGTTGCACACATTCAAGCTAAACCTGCACCGCGTGTCAATTTAAAAGCCTATTGGATCGATTCTTCTGTAAAGACTCCGAGAATTAATCAATTTTGCTTTAAAAAAAAAAAAGGATATTTAAGGCTTGGACAAATATATAGCTGAATTTTTATACCTGTATTGCCTTAATTTATTAAATTGGCCACCACTTAAGGTAATTTGAGAAAGATGTGTGTATTCCATACTATGGAATATACGTCAATGTGATTTTCAGGGTGAATGGTTCCTACTAAATTTGTAAAAACCTAGTTGTGATTAACGAAGCAGTGCGTTGTGTGTGTGGATCACTGATACAGTCTTATGTATTAAAAGTGGTACATTTAAATCATCCGATATAGTACAGTAAAACTTCTATACCAACCGTGGTACGACTTACCAACCTTATTTTTTTTTTTTATTAAATGTTGATTCTGGAATTCATAAAATTATAAAGGACATCTTAAATTTACAACCCAGGTCCGGGTATCCATTTGCCAAGCGTACACCCAATGTTTGTAACGGGTTGGACACAGGCTCCACTGTAACAGGAGAAAGAGAAATGCAACGGCCAGACAAAGGTTCGAACCCGGGACCATGCGACGCATAAAATATATTTCTTTAAAAGAGAGATTTTATATGATAGGTGATATATGTTATATGTTATTGAAGGTATCTTATGCATTGTATGAGACATATCGTATGCTATATTAGATATCATATTTAGTATATATTTTATATAATATTTAAAATACATAGCTTTTCATTCTTTATAAGTTGTCCCATAAAGAAATTAAACGAAATATTTAACTTTGTTACTTATTACATTTTATTTTACAAGATATCATAAAATACATGATATCATGTTTAGCTGAAATAATGTTACTTTTATGATCTCTCTTTTGTAGAACGATATTTCCTCGCTTATTTAATGTAAAGAGTATAATATTGTACGCAATATTAATGTTATATAGTATAGGACATACATATTGTAAGAGTGTATACAGTGTATTTTAGAGTGCAGTATATGTGGTGCAGAAAATGTACAGTATGTATAGAAAAATTCATAGTATTGCTGACGTAAACAATATATCTATTGTATTACAGTATAGTGTATACAACTCACTGTAATACAATGTGTATTGTGTGTACACTATGTAGGGTAAACATTATATATGTAGTACGCTATATAATTTGTATACGACACTATACACAGTTTATACTTTTGTACAGTTTCTACAACATGTAGAGAACACACTTTATAATGTATAAAAGTGTAGAAAGAACAGCAGGTATTCTGCATACAATGTAAAGAGTATAGTTAGTGTATGCACTGTGTGTTTGATATACATTATACACACTGTATACATTGTGTGTAGTTGTATTTCCGTGTTTTCTATCCAGACTTTTGGTTGTATTAAAGACATCACTTCCCGAGGCACGTTTCAAGGTATTAGTTAGCTAGGCTAAGATTATAATTATTTCTACATTACGTTAAGTATATACTGTGAGACATTTTCCAATAGTTTGTTTAGCCAACATAAATCTGGTATTATAAACGTCTTATAAAAGCGACCAAACGCCATATCAGTTGTCGGGTGGTTTAACCGCTCTACAAAGCGCCGTTAGGGAAGATCCCATATTTTTGTATAAATAATTTCTGATCTTGACAGTCTGATCCTGAATAAAAACGGTGTTATGATTTCATAATTACCGTGATCATATTTTAATCATATATAATCAGTTAATCACGATTGAAATATGTTTTAAACAGCAAAGAAAAATACTATTTAGAAGTTTATTGACGTGACATCAAGCTAACAGTACTTTGTACAATTGTACCGGCGTACTGCCTCTTATTATGGATCAACTTACAAACACAATTAGCCAAGAACGGTTTGACTATTCAGACCACAAAGAAGGAATTGTTTTAAAGTTAGGTATATAGGTATTTCAGCGCTTTGTTAACTTGTCATTGTTAAGTGAGAAATGGACTGGAAGCTAAATGACAAACGACCAATCAGTACCGGACATACAATGTATTACAGATTACACAGGGAGACAGTCCGTGGAATTGTATTTAAGTATGTGTTGAACAGTCGGAGTCATGTGCACTAAACAATATTAGGTTCTAATTTTTGTTTGTTACAAAAAGGTATTTTGGTAAAATGAGAGCATTGCATTGAGATACAAACCACACAGTTTGTGTAGATAGCAACGACACCATACGTATACTTGTGTAGGTAACCACCTAACACAGTTTGTATATTTCAACGACAAATTTCTGGAACCAGATTCAAGAATGATATGTAAAGTAAAATTCATGGTAGCAACACGTCATTTTCATATATCTAAACAAATTTAAAATCATTGTATAGCAAATCAGAAATTGTCCAGTGTTTATCTGAAACGACCTCAGATTCTTAACCGCTGTTCAACATCCAGCAGTAGTGTCAGGAAACCGGTAAAATATTCGTCATAAATCTAAGAATGAGTTTGTGGAGGTTTGTTATATCATATATCTATGCTGCCATCTGATTAAAATGAATATGGTATTCAGCAGGAAAATCTATAAATTTTCTATTTATTACATATTAAAGCGAAGGAACATATGACAATGATTTTTTTACTGATTCTAAAAAGGAGAGTAGCGTAATCTTAAACGCCATATTATAATGACGTCACGTTTGACAATAAGACTGCGCTGTTTTGAAGAAACTACTCAACGAAATTTCACAGTTTTCTGCTATAATCTGGTCAGATTTGCTAACACATTGTTATGATTTGTGTTGTTTAGTATAAGTATCTTTTTTTATGTAGCAAAGATGTACCAAAACAACAAATTATTTATTAGTCGGTTCATTTGTTATTGAACAGAAAATCTGCGGTGTTACACTCTGTCCCCCTAGTCGGTCACATATATAAAGTTTCACCGTGCCCCCTTAATCGGTCACATCTATATACGTAACCAAGTGTTTCACCGTGCCCCCTTAATCGGTCACATCATTATACGTAACTAAGTGTTTCTCTGTGTCCCCTTAATCGGTCATATCTATATAGCTTATCAGGTGTTGCACTGTGTCCCCTAGTTAAGCACATCTATATAGCTAGCTAGGTGTTACACTGTGCCCCCTAGTTAATCACATCTATATAGCTTACCAGGTGTTACACTGTGTACCCCTAGTCGGTCACAACTATATAACTAACCAGGTGTTACACTGTGCCCCCTTAGTCAGGCACATCTATATAGCTAGCCAGGTGTTACACTGTGCCCCTTTGGTCAGGCACATCTATATAACTAACCGGGTGTTACACTGTGCCCCTTTGGTCAGGCACATCTATATAACTAACCAGGTGTTACGCTGTGCCCCTTTGGTCAGGCACATCTATATAACTAACCGGGTGTTACACTGTGCCCCTTTGGTCAGGCACATCTATATAACTAACCGGGTGTTACACTGTGCCCCTTTGGTCAGGCACATCTATATAGCTAGCCCGATGTTGCACTGTGCCCCTTTGGTCAGGCACATCTATATAGCTAGCCAGATGTTACACTGTGCCCCCTTAGTCAGGCACATCTATATAGCTAGCCAGATGTTACACTGAGCCCCTTTGGTCAGGCACATCTATATAACTAACCAGGTGTTACACTGTGCCCCCTAGTTAATCACATCTATATAGCTAACCAGGTGTTACACTGTGTCCCCTTAGTCAGGCACATCTACATAACTAACCAGGTGTTACACTGTGCCCCTTTGGTCAGGCACATCTATATAGTTAACATGATGTTACACTGTGTCCCTTTGGTCATACACATATATATAGCTAACCAGGTGTTACACTGTGCCCCCTTGATAATCACATCTATATAGCTAACCAGGTGTTACACTGTGTCCCCTTAGTCAGGCACACCTACATAACTAACCAGGTGTTACACTGCGCCCCTTTGGTCATGCACATCTATATAACTAACCAGGGGTTACACTGTGCCCCTTTGGTAGGGAACATCTATATAGTTAACATGATGTTACACTGTGCCCCTTTGGCCAGGCACATCTATATAGTTAACATGATGTTACACGGTGCCCCTTTGGTCAGGCACATCTCTATAGTTAACATGATGTTACACTGTGTCCCTTTGGTCATACAGATATATATAGCTAACCAGGTGTTGCACTGTGCCCCCTTGATAATCACATCTATATAGCTAACCAGGTGTCACATTGTGCCCTTTTGGTCAGGCACATATTTATAGCTAACCAGATGTTACACTGTGCCCCCTAGTTAATCGCATCTATATAACTAACCAGGTGTTACACTGTGCCCCTTTGGTCAGGCACATATTTATAGCTAACCAGGTGTTACACTGTGCCCCTAGTTAATCACATCTATAAAGATAAACAGTTGCTACACTGTGTCCCCTTAGGCGGTCACATCTATAAAGCTAACCAGATGTTACACTGTGCCCCCTTAGTCGGTCACACCTATATAAATAGCCAGGTGTTACACTGTGCCCCCTAGGCGGTCACATCTATATAGCTAGCCATGTGTTACACTGTGTCCCCTAGTTAATCACATCTATATCTATATAGCTAACCAGGTGTCACATTGTTCCCTTTTGGTCAGTCACATATATATAGCTAACCCGGTGTTACACTGTGCCCCTTTGGTCGGGCACATCTATAAAGCTAACCAGATGTTACACTGTGCCCCTTTGTTCAGGAACATCTATATAGTTAACATGATGTTCCACTGT